GGCTCGTGCCCCCTCAGCGCCGGGCCCCAGGGTGCCTAACCCCTACATCTCTGCTGGCTGGCAGTTCGAAAGCGGGCTCGGTGCTGCCTGTGGAGCAAGTTGAAGGCCCGGCCCAAGCGGATGCCCCAGGACAGGGAGCTCAGTCCGGGCAGGCTCCCCAGCCAGGCCCTGCCTGTGCTCTGAGCGCACCTACGCACGGAGACCTGCCAGCAGGAGGGCCGGATGCAGGCCACCGGTAGGTCCGGGGGGAGCAAAGCACCCACAAAATGCAGCCGGGGGCACCGGGAAGTGGCTTCACTGCTCCCTCTTCATGGATCTGATCAAAATAAGCATCAACTCATCCCTTTGCCGGAGTTTTATGGTTCATAGACCCCAAGGCCAGAAAGGAGCAGGGAGGCCAGCTGATCCGCCCCCAGGTGTGGCCCAGGCCAGAGCTCTGCTCTCCAGTGAGCCCTAGAGCAGATCTGAGTAGGAGGCCAACAGCCCTTTTGTAATCCGGACCCTGTTGGTTTCCCCCTCTGCCTCTTTGGTGTCCTGGCTCCAAGCCGTGGATCCACGTGACAGTCAGGACGGAAAGCAGGAGCAGAGAAAGCCCAGCGGGAGAGAGCTGTGTGCCTGGCACGCCCAGCTAGTGTTGCTGCTAATTTGGGTCCTGCCCACGTGCGGAATAAAGTTTGTTCGGTGCACTAGGATAGAGAGGCTGCCGGCCATGGGCGCTCTGCTAATCCACTGGGCGGCACTGGGATCTCTCCTGGGTGGTCGCCCAAGTGCTCAGCTTACAGGGAGCCCTGCTCCCAGCCTGTTCACACAGGGAATGTGTAAGGCCTGCCAGGCTGGTGCCGATGGGCTGCCTGACTAAATCCGATTCCTGACCATGAGCGTGCCCAGAAACTGATGCGTTAGACCAGGAGGGGGAAGCTTTTTTCGGTCGGAGGCCACTGACCCACAGAATAATCAGTGTGGGGGGGGACACACACGAGTGAGAAGCTCCCTCTCTCCCTCTCCTCAGACTTGGATCCCAACTGAGAAGCAAAAAACCAGGGTGACACCTCACTCACTCACCTGGGGGTGCCGGGCACCACTCGCGCGCCGGCCCCCCAGTAGCTGGCCAAGCCGGTGTTGATGCTCCAGTCCTCCAGGGTCGGGGGGGGTCAACGCTCAGAGACTTGCCACTGGGCTGGAGCACACGTGCCGGCTCGCCCCACTGTGGGGGAATCCCCGAGCCTCACATCAAAACAGGCCGTGGGCTCCCCACCCCTGCGTGGGGGGTGTGATGCAAGACCCTCCTTCAGACAGGCTGGATCAGACACTCAGCTGGGACTGGCAGAGTTCTGGACTCGCCTCCCAGCTCTGCCCCTGATTTCCTGCCTGACCTTGGCTAAGTCACTTAGGCCCAGGTCTTCAACCCGATGAAACCAAGGGGAGTTGGGCGAATAGCACCAAGGGGTTGGGCCTTAATCAGGCTGGGCTTTAGTTCTCCAGTGGTACAAGGAAGCTGGTCACCTTGTCTCCTGCCCTTGGCCCGTGCTGGGTGCTTGCTCTCGCTGAGGGTGTGCAGAGCGCAGCATAAGAAGGCGACTAAAATAACAGCCACGCACTCGCCTGGCCCCAGAGGGAGGGTTTTCCACCTCTGCCTCACTGAACCTGTTTTATCCCTTTCAGAGGCTGGGCCAGGCCCAGGCAGGTGCAGCTGCGGGTCCAGGTGCTCACGCTCTGGCGTCTCGGCCTTGCCAGGGGAATTCTGCGTGGCTGGAAGGCGGGAGGGGGCAGGGCTGGCGTGTGGGGGGAGTGACACGCAGAATCATCTCTCCGGCCCAGGGCCACGCTGGCGGGAGGCCCAACCCCCAATGCCACGGCAGGGTTCAGGGTGCATTGTACCACCACCGGATTTCCCTGCCACTCCCAAGTTGGGGAGCTGTTGATTATTGTGGCCAGGCACTCACTGCCAGGCCTGCTTGGGCCCAGGGCCAGCCCGGCTTTCTAGTTAAAGCTCAGCTCTTCCACGTGCGCTACAATCCACACGCTTACGCGGAGGGGCTGGAAGTTCGGGGTCCCCCGTGGGGAGGCCGGGGAGGGTTAGGGAGCCAATCTGGGGCTGTAAGCACCAGAACAGCTTGGGCCCTACTCGCACAGCTGGGGGGACCTGTGGGAAGGATTGGGGGTTAAAGCAAGAAGCTCCCTGGGGTACAAGCTGCCACCTGTGACCATCTTGGTGCCCGGAGCCTTTCCGGGTCAGTGCCAAAGGGGGTCAGTGCCGTCAGCTTGACATTATAGGTGGGGAAACTGAGGCACAGGGAAGGGACGTACCCAAGCTCGCCCTGCAAGCCAGCGCCAGAGCCAGGGACGGAAGCCAGGTCTCCCAGGCCAGTGCTGTATCCACTAGGCCACGCTGCCTCTGCAGGGATGGAGCTAGGGCTGGCGTCTGGGGATTAGCGATGGCGTCAGGATGCCTCGGTTCCCTTCCCATCTCTGCCACTGAGTTGCCCTGCCAGCTTGGGCAAAACCCGGGGGAAGGGGGAGAGGTCCCGGTATTAGACCCCTCGTCTTGCAGCTATCCCCACCCACCCCCATTTGCTTCCTGGAGACTCTAGGCCAAAGAC